AAGCAGTGGAAGGGTAGATGATTTAATTTTCTTCTGATTCTTTTGTAAGAAAAGGGGTTAACTTAAATTCAGAGAGCTTTTTGGATGAAAACAGGGGTGTATGTGCATATGTGCATGTACAAAAGCTTCATAGGAAAACTGGATCAAAATGTTTAACTTATTAATCCACAAAGTTGGATTTAAAATGCAAACTGAAACATTGTGTTTGTGTTGGAACAAGCTATACGCAGGGCTGCTTTTGAAGATAATTTACAATCTGTAATTAGCTCATTATACAGGGCCCCGAATGCTAGCAAAAGACAGACACCACATTTTACAAAATCCTTTCAAAGTTATGTAAATTAGGATTTTGTAATCACTTCTGTACTTAGTTACAGAATACCTAAAAGCTGCCTTTCTCCATAGGTTCTCTGTCAGCAAGGTCTGATGTTTTGATGTTTCCACCACTTTACTTTTGAAGCCTATTTTTGTTCTGTTTTTAAACTTTCTAAGCTGGCTTGGAGGCATTGCTAAAAGGTATGGCATAATGATTTCCAGTTAAAGCGTATGTATTAATTTATAAATGATATAGGTATTTATAAAAAGCCTTTATCCCACATTTTATGGCCACTTAACCATGTATCTACATGTGCAGTCGTGTGCTACCTTAAGCGTTGGGCCCACACAACCATTTCCTGTGGCACTAAGAAGAACAAAGGGGGTTCATCCTTCGGCAGATGGGTGATCCAGTGATGTTCCCATTTCTGACATAGACTGGAGCTTCAGGTCTCCACTTCCTAGAAGAACTCAGCGGTTTGCTAGCAGGTTTCAGAATAACCTTACTGATTGCAACTGAGATGCAAACAAGTGTGGGTCTGGGCCAGATTTTAAATCCTGTTAAACGCTACATCCGAGAATTGGTCATCTTCATCTTCTTCCTCTCCAGCAAGAACGTCCTGATCCTTTCCTTGCTTGAGCCACGGCTCACTGTTACATCTGTACAGTTGTGAACCATTTCAAACCCACATTTCAAATGAAGAGGAATAATGGGTAAAGAAGGGAACTTGCAGAACTTCAAAAAAGTCTCCATTTTCTTAACCATCTTTAAAAAAAAAAGACCATGCAAACCCAGCCAGAGAATCATGCCATTGTGTTTAATCATGTTTTATTTAATAAACCACAACTGGCTGGATTCAGAAAATTCACTAAGCTAGAACCTTACAACCCACAATATATGGCTTCAGCATGGTTTCCAAACCTATTCTCCATCAGGTTATTGTAGAGGGAAGAGCTAAGATTCAAAACTCTTCTCTTGTGTCTGTTTTAATACAAGTGCTGATAATATCTCCTCTACTCGTAGAACTGAAGTAAATTTGCTGTTCAACATTGACAGGGTGATTCTTCAAACAAAAGTAAAGTGACTGTTTGCCAGTAGGCAAACATAATATTTTCATTGCACTGTGATTACAGATGAGTCATTAAGTAAAATGATTAATCAGAAATCAATGTTACTAAAGCTCTATCAGAGACAATGCACCTCTTCCCACACAACAGATACTCACTTTATAAGCTAATGCATTTATTCTAGCTCTTGGATGGTTTCTGGCCTTCTTAAGCATAACTGCCTGCCGGAAATTTGTGTGCAATTAAGCTCAAGTGATGACCTGCTCATATATATTTTGGCACTTTGTATCCAATCGCTTGTTCAGCAAATACAGAAATGAATCTGAGCCTTATATGAATTGCATTAATGGTAATTTCCAAGCAGATGGAGAGATCTCTGAATTTTAACACATGCCCTTAGAAGGTATTCAGCTCCATAAATTACTTGTTTTATCAGTCTGCAAATAGTTTTTATCAGTCAGTGGATACATTTATTTTAAGCCAATAGAACTGACTACTTTCCCTGCTGGTCTAAACATCCCTGCTTCCGATCTCCTGTTTTGGTAGATCTACCTTGTGGCAGCCAAGCATGCAAATTTAAGAACATGTAACAAGCCGCCACTTTCCAGATTCTGGGGTTTGCTTTTAATTCACCAGACAGCAATGTATTTAGCAAAAAGAGAGGGAGTGTACAAACTCCTGTAGAGGGTAAGGATGTGGATGGTAAAAGAACAATTAAACATGAGTTTATCCCAAACCAAAGGAACACGCCTTGGTGACCCCATTCCAAAGCTAATCAAAAGTTCAGTTGGCAGGTAATGGGAAAGATCTCTCTCTACCCCAGAACTTGAAGACCCATTGAGAGGGACCATACTGGAATGGAAGAATTAATCTTACCTGAAGCAATTTCTAATATTCCCATAAACCTGCACAAAAAACTTTACTTGCTTCTCTTAAGAGATAAAACTTGGGTAGGGATTCCCATAAAACAATTCTCTATTCTTTCCATGCATCTTGACCACCACCCATGCAGAAGAATGAGTGATCAGCAGTGAGTACTAAAAATTGTTAAGGAAAGGAATTCAGGAGAAGCATCTTCTTGTCTCCTTCAAAATATGTCACCCCAAAAGAACAGAAACATGTTGCGAAAAGAAACTACTGAATGCAACGTGAAGGAGCAAAAGATGTTACTGAAAGGAGAAATGGAATGAATGAAATCTGAGTAGAAGCACCAGGTTGCTGCTGTTTGTTCCAGGTTGGAAATGGGGACAAGAGCTTTTTTAGCCTGGCTTTTTTAACATTCACATATGAGTACAGTTTTGATAGCTATGGGCTAGCTGTGCATGTTCAAAGGTCTACAGCTTCAGAGAAATGTCATTTATCATCTTCTCTGAGAGCATTTGGCCATGAAGAATCTGAACAGCCACTTCCTGAAGATTTCATACTACAAACCTAGATTACACATACATTAGTGAGGTGCAGCAGTTAAGAAGCTGGACTAGAACCAGGCAGAGCCAGGCTCAAATCCATCCTTAGTTCTAGAAACTCACTGAGTGACTTTGGGCCAGCAACTCACTCTCAATCCAACCTACCCAACAAGAGGAGTTGTGGTGGGGGTACCAATGAAGGGAGATTGCCACATGAATCACTCTGAGCTTTTAGAGGAAAGGCAAGATATAGATCTAACACATAAATAAATGCTTTGTGTGTGGGATGTGAAAAAGTTGCTCGTTGAAAGTTGTGTGCTACTTTGGGGTGTTTTTAAAGACAGGCAAATAAGTATAACAACAGTGCTCCCTCTTGTGGGAGCAATCAACAGTTTCATGCAAAACAATCCAAGAGGGATTGACCACTATAGTAATTCTACCCAACAGCTCGACTGGCTGGCCTCTTATACTATCCAAGCAGACGCCATTTTCTTTCTGGCCTTCGCCCTATTTCTGGGCAGGGATGGCAGTGTTTGATCCTTGCCCTGTTAACAAAGGGTGCTTAGTACCAAATGCCAAGGGATTAAGTGGCAGCTACTTCATCCCCAAAAGTAGCAGAAACAGCTATTTGTATTTAAAGACCGATGGCAATTGCTTCTTCTCAACAAGTTTTGATAGAGGTGGACTAGGAGGTACGACATTCCTCCTCTTTCATCTCTGGGATCAGAAAGGCAGGAATAGCTATAGCACCCTTGGCAAGGGTAGGTACAAGATCTCCAGATGAGAGATGAGGCCACCTTCTCCCAAGACACTTCATTCCAGCACAAACTTTTTCCCAGTGTTCAAGTGAACGTTACTCCCCTGCAGTTCACTCACTGGTTCTAACCCTATCCTCCAAAGCATTAAAAAAATGGCTTCAGCCAGCTGAAGACCACTTCTCTTCTTAAAGAAAAGTAATTGTCCAGTGCTGTTCTTATATACAGCACATTTTCAAAATGTGATTATGGGGTTACTCTCCTGTCCTTAAGTGTAACCCTCCAAAGCTGTTGGCCTAAATTTTGTGGCTACAAACACAACTGCACTTTGTACAATCTGCCCATTGTTCTCACGTTCCCCTGCACAACAGCCTGTTGTAGACTTCAAACTCTGCAAGATTCTCATTACATCAGGGATGTACTTGCTTATTTTTGGTAGCCTCTAGAATTCCCCTAGGATAGAATGGTAAAAAGCAATTTGATTTCCTACCATTCTGTTGTGGAAGCGCACACAAGCTGTTATAGAAAACCTAAAACAGATTTAACTTAACGGGGGTGGGGGGGAGGAGACCAAAAAACTTGGCCTTTTCACATGAGCATGACCCAACTACACCTATTTGCATCACTCTCCCCCCAACCCTATCCTTCTGGTCCCCCAAAATATTAGGTGCAATTCCCAGTTACTAAAAGGCTGACAATCTCTACCTTATACATTTAATGACAGGGTACAAATAAAAGTGGGTAACCTACTCCACAGCTATAGATCCTTTCCAGATACAACACTGCACATGTTTGTTTGCATTAGCATACCTTGTCTTTAATGCCAACCCAGACTACTGTGTTTATGCGACCATTTTTAAATACAATTCAGAGCTTAAGAGGAAAAAAAAAAACCCACAGTGCCCAGTATTTTATACCTAGCAGTTAAATTCTTCACAACATCAAGAACAGAAAAAGGAGTGGATTCTACAAACACTGTAGTAAGTAGATACAGAATGTACAATGAAAAATTGTATATACAAGTCCATTTCAATATACATTGTAGCAGAAAATTTGGAAACAGTTCAGATTTTATACAACACGCACACACATATATATATATAAATACATATATACATACAGGTAGCCCTCGACTTACGACCACAATTGGGACCAGAACTTTGTTGCTAAGCTATGCGATCATTAAGTGAGTCACACATGATTTCACAATCTTTTTTGCTGCGTTTGTTAAGCAAATCATGCAGTCGTTAAGGGAATCCAGTCTCCCCCATTGACTTTGCTTGTCAGAAGCCCCCTGGGAAGGTCACAAATAATGATCATGTGACCCCGGGACGCTGCAACCATTGTAAATACATGCCAGTTGCAAAGCACCCAAATTTTGGTCACTTGACCACAGGAATGCTGTGATGGTTGTAAGTGCAAGGATGGTCATCACTTTTTTCAGTGCTGCCATAACTTTGAACTGTCATTAAACGAATGGTCGTAATTCAAGAACTATGTGTGTGTGTGTCTCCATCTGAAGGAACTTTGCCAAAGTTAAAAACTCTCTTTGCTTTGGTTATGAAGTGCACATTTCTTTTCATCCATTTTATACACCATTAACTCTCAACCATATTATAAAACGCACATTTGAGACCACTTGCATTGCTCTCTGCCTTTGCCTTTATGCCTGCCCACACAGTACGAAGCTCATGATCTAGGTCTGATTTATTTAACAATAATCACTTTTGAACTGATCGACCAAGTTGCCATGTGAATCACCTAAAATTTCCTGCAAGACACCAAGAGTATACAGAAACACTGACTTAAGAGGGAACAAGAAAAGTTACCTTCCCAGTCAGATTCCCTCTAGCAGCTGAACCCTAACACATGTGAAGTGTGCCAGGCTGAACAGAGAGTGCCACGAGAAACCATGATCTGCTGGACCACCAAAGAGAGTTACTAACCTTCAAAATGACTGATGAGTTAACTATTGCTGAAGTGATCCAAAGGGAGAAGGTGTGGATGGGTCAAGAAGAGACAGAGCACAAACTAATTAGTATTTCTTTTAGTATTAAGACATTTGGCTAATGTTCTATAAGATTTTCTACAACTATGATACAACAGCCTTAAAAGGATTTACAGTCATATATACAATTTGATGTAGATAATTTCTCTCTAGAAACTCTTTATTTCACCACCATGTAGAAAAATAAAACAAACAAAATTAAAATGAGTAAAGTCTTTACTCTAGATCAAGAAAATATCTCAGCTGTTAGAACTACGAAAGCATTCTAGGCAATCTTTTTTACACAAACTTTTCTCCTTTGTTAAAGTCAAATACTTGGGTTATTAGAACATTTGTAGTTGGTGAGGAAGCAGAATACATATACATACACAAAATGTAAACAGGTCTTTATAGTTACATTCAGCTAACAGAACAGCAATTCTTTTAAAATCAGGTTTTCAGTGCTCCTTCTAAGCTTTCCAAGAGAAGCTAATTACTTGTTCTCTCAATTACTTAAGTTATTTTATTAAATATTTATGCAGCTTGTAAACAGCTCACAATAAATAGAACACAGGCAGAAGGCTACAAAATGGTTCCTTTCCATATTCTAACATTGCTTTTAAATTTATAAAAAAAAGTTATGAAAAAACTAAAAACACATGGCTTCTGACTGCAGCTTAGTCAAAACAGTCTTGAATTTTTAATACTATCTTAGCAGATATTAACTGGGAATCAATGTCAAAATTTAAATAGATCATTACTTTAATGCACATACACACACGTGAAAAATTAGATCACAGGGAGGGCAGAATCAAAGCAATTGGAAAGTTTTGGGTGATCACAGAAATCAAGGTCTAGACAATGTAGATGGATCACACTTCTTCAAAGTTTGTTACAACACTGAGTATTGGTTACAAAATTTTAATCCCCCTTATTCAAAGTACTCACAGAGTATGATCTGTGAGCCACTTTAGAATAATTTTCCTGTTCTTGAGTAGAGTAAGTGATCATAACTAAATACAGCTATGCTCCAAAACTACAATCCAGGATTAAAAATTGAAACAAAGAAGAACTTTGATTACAGAAATAATCTAGTGAATCTGAAATATCTGGAAATTTTTGACATCTATCCAAGTATTGTATACATTACCCTAATATGGTTCAGCTAGAATGTTAACATACAGTTTCAATACTTACACCATAGGGAAAAAACTGAAAGCTTCACATTCTGTTTTACAGTCATCAAAAATTACTGCTTCGTGCAAACCTGGAGTAAAGCTTATTCTTAACTACAGTTTATCTGAAAATGCTGGGATGAGAAACTACATTTTGAAATGAGTATGTTCAGGCAAACTACAGCTTTGTCTAATCACTCTAGATTCCAAATCAGATGAAAAAACAAGTGGTTAGTTTAAAACAGAGAAAGGTGTTTGTCAGAAAGCGAGCAATGCATGGCGTGACTCTGAAGCTTGTGCATCTAAAATCAAATTATTAGTGTTGCATCTCAGTCCTTCTGCACAATAATGGAAGCTTAATTACTTTGAGGCAATACCACAGAAGATTGCAACATTCTTTCAAACCCATTTGCTTAAGCAGCTTCTTCATCTTGTGGCACTTCTGTCCATGTTAGTTATCAATATTAACTAAAGAACAATCCAGCCCTTAAGCTGAATTTGTAACATGTGGTTTTCAATAAAAACATTCTGTTTTACTTACAACAGTGGCTCACTTTTGGTTTCTTCAAAAAGCAGGATGAGCCAATTAACTATGCTTTGAAGAACTTCAGGGCATTTTGATCTTCTTTATTTTTGCCATTTTCTTCCCCAAACTTCCATATTGAACAAACAAAAAAATCAAATTAATTTTAAGGCACAAGACACCATGGGGATTTGGAACAGAGAAAGAAACATACATTGGAAAAAAGCAATATGTATTCGTCAATAAGCATTTCATTCTATTGTTGTCCACTGCTTGAGACCAAATGCCTGCCTTGCAAAGCCCTACATTTAAAGGATTATTGTGACCAACTCCCTCGCTTCGCAGTTGAAGGCAGGGAGAAAAAAACACAGGTTTAAAACCACCAAGAGGATCACCAGAACAGCCTTGTCACACAGTGGTAAGTCACACAGTTCCCAAGCCCCACATTAAATGAAATTACAGTGGTAATTTCAGGAAACCTAACGTATAAAGTTTAGGCTTTGATACAACTGCAGTTAGCAAAGAAGAATAAGTCCTGGCAAAGTGTATTATTGTTTTTACAGACCATAGTCCTTAATGGTTTAACTTACATAGTGGGAAGACAGAGGAAAATACTTTCAAATTTAAGTTCAAGGATTTTCTTTCCATAATTTTAATGGAATTAAAGAAGGAAATGCAGCTTTTTTACTGGTGAGTTGATCTGAAAGCAAAATACTCTAGCCTAGATATTTTTAAAGAACATTTCCTGATTTCCTACAACTTGTGGGGGAAAAAAAGCCAAAAAACCAAAATCAGTTAATCACAGGTAAGTGATGTAAGGAGGAGGATAGCTAGTCCTGATTCAATCAACGTTTTGGTAGAAGTGTATGTAAACAATAGAGTAAGCTTAAGGCTTAGAAAGAACACTGATCACGACATTCCCGTCTCACATCAAGACATCTACGTCTCCCTCGTGGTCCTCCTCAGTCACTTTTAAAGACAAAACCTCTTCATTGAGGAACAAGCCGCTTAGCCGCTCCTTCCGTGCCTGTCGCTGCTCTTTCAGCTGCCTCTTGCGCAAAGCCTTCTGCTGAAGTTTGCGCTGCTTGGAGCGTTTCTGTCAAAGAGAAGGAAAGGCCAAACTCAGTTCTCACCTTTGAAAGCAAGACCAGCTCACCCTTAAAAAGATAGATTTCTCGGTGTCTTTTACTAAATTCATAGTGAGCACTAGTTGTAGAACTTCAGTCATGATCTGTCCATTCACAGATAATCTTTTTTGAAAACACACCTTTGTTTTAAATAAAAGGATGACAATTAAAAAAGAGAGAGGAAAAAAAGGATACACATTTCCCCCCATCTCACCCCATCTGTCTTTAATTCAAGGGAGGGGAAATCAACATTCTTGTAAGGCCAAATCTTTATTAGTCCACTATTGGTTACATTTTTATACCACTCAAGAAAGCTGCAGGAGAAAATTAAAGTAAAACCAACAGCAGCCAAAGATTTAAAATGCACATTATGAAAATGTAGGTAACTGAAAGGTTAAGAGAACATAAATATTTTTCCCCAAGGGTATTAAAAAAAATTACAGCCAGGATATTACCACTGAAATGGTCCTGCATCCACCTGAGACAGAATTTTATAACGTTTCTTTTCACTTTAGATAGTAGGAAAATTCTTTTTCAAGGAGATATTAGCTATGTTTCTAGTAAGAAAAACAGGCCCTTGGAACTAACAATGCTAGTCTGAAAATATCAAGAGCCTTTTAAAACTTTGATTTTTCACAATATAAACAATGCATTTTTTTGAAAAGTCACTTTGACTCCAACATAGCAGAAATTACTGGGTTTTTAAAAATGATTTATGACAGCACAACACACCCATACAAAAAAGGTCACAACTTGTCAAACTGTGGGTGCATTCACCCACAGCACTATCTCCTAATATGGTTTACCTGGCGAATTTTGTGAACCCACCCCGTGGTATGTGAACTACAATTTATGGTTTAGAAATGGGCAGATCCAGCCAATGGTGGTTTATTCAAGACAATAACATAAACATAGTGCGACTTAGCACAATATGTGAAGGCTGGGGCTAAGCTATGTTACACATAGGCCAGGATGTCGGGATCAACAATGAACTTTCCCTTAACTAGCATAACACAAAAATCCACTGATGTTTCATGGCTCAAAATATATTTTTGTAAGACAGATTTCTGTGCCTGTGACCACAAAGTGGGAGCTTTACTTTTGAATCCCGGATGCGTTCTGCAGCACTCGTAGATAAATTATTCTCACTATGAGCCCGACTCAGGTTGGCGCTGGAGTTTGAACCCGAGTTCCCAATGCTCGAACTGCTGCTGCTTCCTGAGCTGACCATGCTGGCGCAACTGCCGCTGCTGGTGCTGGCTCCGCTCACTCCACTGGCACTCCCACCGCTGTAGTTGCTCCGCTTCCAGGCCTCCCTTGTGGAACGCTGCCGAGGGCCGTGCTCCTTGATGTAATTTCTGACCTGAAGGGGCAGGGAAATGGCAGAGGCTTAGGGACTGAGATGAATTCTATGCAGAACTGTCTTCTAAGTGTGTTCAGCACCATCACAAAGTCCCTTCCGGCCCAAACCAGCCATTCTCAGGCATCATTTACAAGTCTAATGTTTTATTTGTGCTGATTCTGGGATTCCAAAATACCTTAAAATCGTATGTTGAGAGATCCCTGGATGATTTGCCAATATGAAGTTCTAATTCACAACAGTTATAAGCAAGAGCAACATCAAAATGATTTTCCCCATCCCTAAATATATTACTGAAATGAAGAATGCTAAGGATAGCACACAATACCCTAGAATGGACTTTTGCACAAAACTTCTGTGAGGAACCATTCGATACTCAGAACCAACCCTTAGGTGCTGAATTCCATAATTTCAAGTGTGTGTGGGTGTGGGTGTGTTTGTACCATGTTCCACTTTATGAACCTCACAGATCTAGTAAAGAAACACTGGCTGTATGTGTTAAGGCTACAGATAACTAAAAATCTCATTCTTGACCTAAGTAGTAATTGTAATAAACTTTATTACGGTCATTGACCAATTCAAAAAGAAAGCAAATTCAAAGCAGCACATAAAACCTCATAGCAAAACTTAATAATTATAGCACTGATGTGGTCAAAGTACAGCATATTTTAAGAATAGCAAAACAAAACTTAGCCACGTTCAGTGAAATAAAATCACATTGATCAGACATCAACCACTGTAAATAAATGGACCCGGGTGACTGGAAATTTGACTGGGTGGAGAGCTATTAGCTGCAACTAAGCACTTTTATAATAAGGGCAATATAGCAAAACATGGGTTAATGTTTCAGGAACTCCTTCACCACAGGGGCAAAGCTTTTGTCTGAATGGGACACCCTGTAATTTTCCTTCGAAACAGCTGTTGGGAGGGTATTATTCTTCTTCTGCTAAAAAAGATCATGCCTTATAGTCTCTTGACTGTATCACATTGACTATTTTTTATTAATTTTACACCCAATCCAGCCTGTACTTATGGCGACTCTGGCATCTGCTATTTGAACTTATTCAAGTACAAATACAGAGATCTTGGAACAGAATCGTTACTATTTACAGAGATATGCAGCACAGCAGTCTCAGAAAGACCAAGAGAAGGGGGCAAATGTTTGGGCTTATGAGATCACAGGCTACACCGACATACCTGTTTCAGCTTTTCATCAGTGAGACAGTTCAATTCGATAATGAATTCATTGTCTGTTGGTGAAATCTGAGCAGTGGGATCAATAATTTTAATAATATCAAGCTGCTCTCGAAGTCCCATCTCCATACTGACTTTCCGACTCAGATATTCAATATATTCCACCTGGGGATAAAACCCACAAATACAAATGTTACTAACATTGCTGAGAGCAATCACTTACAGAAGCCCTTTTCAAGGAATGCCTGATGAGTGATGATCAGCGACAGGACCTTTCCTGCCTTTTGAATGCTCTCTCCAGACAAGTGTGGCTGGCATCAATCCTGCTCCCATTTAGACAGTGAGAGACCTCATAAACCTCTTCCTTAAGTGCTTTTCTAGACAATAATTATGGCTTTTCTATAAAGAAGTTCTTGATATCCTTTCATAATGAACAGCAAAAGATGGGGATAGACAAAAAGTTACTTGAGAACTCATGCTACATTGAATAAGATCACAGGGGAAAAAAAGATGAGACAGTATTTTATTTATTTATTCATTCAAATTTATTGGCCACCCAACGCCAGTGGATTCTTTCTTTCTTTCTACAATTAAATAGTAAGTTAGCTCTTACAAATTATATTGCACTTGAAAGGAAAATAATTCTGCATTTAGGATGACACATCCTCCCCGCAAAAGAAAGAAAGGGGGGAAGAACAGGTTCCCATAAAAATCCTGGGCAATGCCATTCTTCCCTATTGTAAACCTGGGACTATCAACTCCAGCTGAAACCATTCCTTCAGATTTGTCCCGTTTCCAATAAACAGTATCATAATATATTACATTTGTTCATTTATTTATGAATGAATTCATAAACTGTATCAGTTGAGGCTACTCTAAGTGGTACACTAAAGCAATGGATGCAGCCAACACAGTATGCACAGGAACACATACATCCCTTTCTGTTCAGGCAAGAATTTAATTTTCTGAAGAGAAACTTTTCTATTAAGGTCTTTCTTTTATAAGCAACACCTTCCAGTTTCTATTAACTTACAGCCTTTTAACATGTGACATTTTTAGAGTGGTTTCAACTATTCTTAATTGTCCTGTGTAGCGCAATATACCAGAAGAAATGCTCTTATTTCTTTATTATTTTATTTGCCAGTCCCAAGACCAGGACCGTATTTGGGAAGAGAGACTTATCTGTCCTCCAGAGGCCAAGGATTTACCTGCTCATCATTGGTCATTGCACTCCATGGAAGTTCATCAAGATTCCGGTGCTTGTTTTTCTTTTTCGGAAGCAGACAAGGGGAGCTTGGAATACTGGGAATGATGTCGGAAAGCACATCACTTCCACTTGCAATGTCACTACCAGGCAGCTTACAAGCCAACAAAATAAAACAGAATCAGAATACAGCATTCAATAATGTATACCACAACATTAATGTTCGCTATACAAATTAAAGCTACGCTCAAGCCTAAATATGCTAATATAGAAGAAATAACAAATAATACATTTAAACTATAATCTAGCCTAAATACACTAACATGGATAATCTTCTACTGCAGAAGCAGTATTTCTTTTGAATAACTATGTCTAACGTTTCAGGACTGTTCTAAGAATTCTGGCAGCTTCTTATTGCATTGGACAGCAGTTTCTCCCCTTCACCCAAAATACTACAAACTTGTTTTTTACCTGCCATTCAAACTCACTATCCGACCAGTCCCAGTACGTGCTAATGGAGGAAGAGACGTCACTGCAGACACTGCCCTCAGGGAACAGGTCAAAAGATGTCAATTCCTGATCATCCAAGAGAGAGAAACAATCATCCTGGTCACCAACAGAGACCGAAGAGAAGAGCTCTTCGCTGCATTCGGAGCTGGCTACACTTGTGCCACAAGAAGTTAAGTTCCATCTGAAAGACAAAATGTCTGTACAGTTATTTTAAAGGACTGTCTTGGGAATGTTGCCATCCTTGCCATCTTTACTCTTCATTTTTTATTTATCACTGTATTTTTTCTTATTGTTACTGTTTTTATCTGTCACCACCCAGAGTCATTGGGAGTTGGGCAGCATATAAATGCAATACATTATTATTATTATTTACAAGGCAGAGTATTCTAAATAATCCAATTGATTGATTATGTGCCATCAAGCCAGTGTTAACTCTTAGCTACCATACAGACAAATTTTCTTCAAGAGGAAATAACTCAATACTCTATTTCAAATATCAAGAATGCCCCAAGCTGGGATTATGAATGAAAAGAGGTAGATGATGCAGAATCTTCCCTATCTCCTACAGATGCAATCAAATCAAAACTCACTTCCCTTCTACAGCATTTCAAAAACAGTAAACCTCTACAAATACTGTACAGTCAGTTCTTGTTATTTGCAGTAGTTATATTACTTATAAAGTTGCTGCCAATACCAAATTAGCAAATGCTGAAACCTCAGCTGGGGAGAAGTGCATCGGGAAACTCAAATGTTTTGCCACTCTGCATATCCACGAATAAGGAAGAAAGCACCACAAATATTGATTTTGCAGTTCCAAAAAAAAAAAAAAGGAAGTAACCAAATTCCCAAATAGAGAATCCGTGAATAACTGCAATTGCCTGTATTTGCTTTCATTGTAGCATGAAGGGACAGAAAGCTTTCTCTGACCATTTCTGATATTAAGAAAATAATTAAGTTATATATACAAAATGTGTCTGCAAATAGCCCCCAAAGCTAAGAGGGCAAGGGTCCCTCCAGCGCCCAGAGTCGTCTGGAGTTCTTTAAACTGATGTAAATCAATCAATCACTAACACAAAGTGTCTGTGGAAATCCCACCTTCCTTTCAAAGCTGGCTGGGGGACCTTGGGCCAGTCAGCTCTCTCAGCCTACCTCACCTCACAGGGTTGTTGTAGAAAATGTAGGAGGAAGAGGGAGTACTGTATTAGGTATGTTCGCCACCTTAAGTTATTTATAAAAATACAAAAGGTGGGAAAAATTCTAAAAAAGGACCTTCACAGCCATTTGTAAATAGAGACTAGGAGAAATTTAGAACAGTTCCAACCCACCAAACTTCTCTTCCCCCTCGAGGTGCCTGAATGAAGAGGGAAAGGAGGCCTTTCTTGCAAGGGGGAAGCACCGGGGCCTCCCAGGCCTCCCGAGGAGCCCCCCGCCCCCCCCCCCCCCCCCC